TCGTCCTTTGGACTTGCCTTATTTAGATCTCGATAGTCGACACACATTCTTACCCTTCCGTCTTTTTTCGGAACTGGGACGATGTTGGCGACCCATTCGGGGTATTTTGATACCTTGATGAAACCTGCAGTTATTTGTTTTTGAACTTCTTCTTTTATTTTAAGAGCTACGTCGGGTTTCATTCGACATAACTTTTGTTTTACAGGTTTCATTCCCGGAATTAGTGGTATAGTGTGTTGAGCTATTTCTCTATTAATGTCTGGCATATCTTTGTATGACTAATAAAATACATCGATAAATTCTTTAAGTAAGTTAATTAAATCGGTTCTTTCTTGTTCATTAAGTGTTAGTCCGATTTTAACTTCTCTTTTATTGGTTGAATCATTTGAGATATCAACCGTCTCAGTTTCTTCAAATACCGGTGTTTTCTTTTCAAGTGTTTCCATTGCTTTAATAAGTTCTTTGTCTTTTTCATTATTAGTTAAGCAATGCTCGTCATCTTGGGTTAGAGAAGAACGCAAGAAGTAAGGAGAAGAAGTTATATTATTATACTCTGAGATCATTACATCAAAGAGTGATATGTCCTCAGGGGACTTGATCCATGATCACTAACTATTCTAGGAGAAATGATAGAAGGGGAAGGTGCTACTACTAAAGACCTAGATGACTCTATAGGGAAAGACTCTGACTCTGACTCAGACGACTCTTCAAACATCAGTCCTTTCCCTATTGTGATGGATATCTTTCTTCCACTTGGAGTCGTCACCTTGACGGTCTTGCGCCACCCTTGTAGTGATCCTTCCGCCGAAGTGATTATCTTCGAAGGATCGAAGTTTTCACTTTGTAGGACTGTTTGAATGAGCGAGGAGTTATCCTCTTTGTATGTCGGCTCATCCTTTTCTCGCCCAAATAATAGTCTCATGACGTTAAAGTCAAAGCATGGGGGTGCTTTCTCCTTATGGACAGGAGTTGGGATTTCATCTGTGAAATAGCAATCCAAGAAAATTTCAAATCCCGGTTTCCTTATGTCGTTTACGACAAATGGCTCGGGAAATTCGTGGCATGGATAGTCCTCTCCTTCTTTTATGAATTGACCATTGAGGGTGGGAGGGTACTGATCCATTGGGATTGCTTTATTTTGAGTGCAAGCGTCCTTACGTGCCTTTGATTTTTCCTTGGCTCGCTTAAGAGCTTTCCGATTTGGTTCGAAACCAAGTCTGAAAGTATCTAATTTAGGGAGGCCAGTTGACTCCAGCGGTTTTGCTATTCCCTTTTTCTTTCCTAGGGTCATCCCAGGAAAATGTCCTTGTTTCTTGAGAATAGTATTCACGATCATGTTAGAATGGGGGTCGTGGCCGAGAGGGGTCCTTTCATCCTCCTGGATTAAGGAGACCTCTTCGTTAAATCCCCATAAATCTTCATCATCCTCATCTTGCTCCACGTTAATTATTGGGTTTCCTATAGACTTGATTCTCATAGGTGAAGCATCGATGGTGATAGGAATTCCCCCAACTATGGCTTTTACTTGTTGGTGGAGAGATGAGGGGACGGCCTTTAGGTCATGAAGCCAAGGGCGTCCCAACAGCAAATTGAATGAGGCCTTGATATCTACTACTTGGAAGGTAGTAGCGTGTTCTATCGCTCCCGCCGTTACATTCATGGTAATTTTTCCAAGAGCTTGACGACGAGTGTTGTCGTAGGCTCTTATTCCTTGTGTTGACGGGGTTAGGTCTTCATCCCTTATGCCTAACATCCTCGCAATTCTAAGTGGACAGACGTTAATGGCTAATCCATTGTCTACAAGAGTCATAGGGACGATCATCCTCTTGAAAACTACTGTGAGGTTTAATGCCTTATAGTGTTTGTCACCCAGAAAAGGTGATCAAATTGATGGGACTAGGTAGATCACTCGTGAGGAAGTTAGCCAATCCCTCAAGAGTGGTGTTAGAATCTATCCCTATCTTGTCCAAGGCATTCATTACAGCCAACCTATGTTCTTGGGATGTTGCCAGAAGTTTCCATACGTTCATTTCAACTTTTGTCTTCTTGAACTGTTTGACGATATCATTATCTTCAATGATAGGTATGGGAACTTGTTGTGTGGTTGGTATGGGTTGTGTTGAAACGGGAGGTTGCATTCTCCCGGATCTCGTGAGGACGTCTATTGATGAGTCTTTTTCAACCCAAAAGTCATCCATGGCATATGACACCGAAGGTGGAGGTCCTACCATGTCTTTTAAGTAGACGTCTTATTCATCACTGTCCCAAACTCCATTAATACTTGCATCCTCTTCTTGTGGAACTTGGACTAGTTTCTTTTCATCAATCATTTTCTGAATTAAATCCTTGAATTTAAAACAGTTTTCAATAGTGTGACCCCCTGATTAATGATACTAACAGTAATATCTATCTGTCATTTTTAATGATTCGAATGGTCTCGGTTCGAGAGGTTCGATCATAGATAGTGTAAGCGATTGTATGTCCACTTTACTTGCTGGTTTCGGAAGATTATCTATGGCGTCGAAAAAGATCTCCTCCTCTTCTTCGATGGCATGGATTTCTTTAACAGGTTTGATGAGAGACGAGGGGTCAACCTCGTTTTCCTCATCAGAGATAGCCAAGGAATGAGCGAGAGGCGCATTATCAATACTTGGCTTTTTACTGGCAGGGGGCAACGACAGCTTGTTGTTGTTGATTAAGTCTTGGATAACTTCTTTAAGCTTCCAACAGTTCTCGGTAAGATGGCCCCTACCTTGGTGATACTTTCAATGTGCATTAGGGTTCCAGTTAGCCGACGTCTTTTCGACTGGTGGGTCCCCAGATGGTCCAATAGGAGTTATAAGACCTTTTGCATTTAATCGGTCAACTGCAGTGTCATAACTCATGCTAATAGGAGTAAAGGTCCTCCTATGGTTTCTTTTTTCCTTGATTATTCATAGCAAGGACTTCACTTAAGTTAAAAGTGCCAACATTGTTAGAGTGGGTGGTTTTGGAAGAAGAATTCTACCTATTTAATTAGAAATGTGTCTTGGCCCCTTGAAGAGGGAGAATTCAGAAAATGCATGGTCGTGCTCAAATGGATTACATAGTAATCATTTGTTTTGTAATTCTAACTCAGTTTTCAAGAAAATATTTGTAGATTAATATGATCATGACATGAGATGCAATCATATTATCAAATCGACACACAATGACTTAAGGAATTTGAATATTTTGCTTTTGTCTCAGACAAGTGGGAGATTGAAGGAGTTCTGTCTTCGATAAGTGCAATTACTAGATATATCAAGGATCAATATTATGGAGATAATAAGTTCGTTCTTTTGGGTCGTCATTATCTGTTGCTAGACTATGATCAATGATCTTTGGGCTAGTCAAATAGTCCAAAGCCTACTAGAATGGATCATATGAGGTCACACAACAAGGGTATTGGGTTAAGCAAGTAAGAGGCCCATTAATGGGCCTCATGAGCAATTAACTAATCATGAAATGGATTGGGCTAGCATAGTTAGATGAGAATTAGGTTTTGGGCTTTTGACATGGGCTCTTATTTAGAGATAGGATCTATAAATAAGATTTATGCCCAAGGTTGCAGTGAAGCAGTCATAATTCATACACAGTGTATTTTGACATCAAGGCAACCAATCCCAAAACCCTGATTCCTCTCACTATATCACGACTATCTCTCTCCTCCCCTCGTCTATACGGCCGGCCATCATTGGTGGCTCATGTGGTGGTTTGTGGTGGTTCGTTGCTCGCTCTTCTCCATAGAAGGTCAATTGAAGGGTTCAATTGCAACTAACTAGCATTATTGGAGGTCTTAATCTGTGCCCGTGGACCAAGTAGAGGAATCACGCTTGAGGTTCTTTATCTCCCATTGTTCTTGCTCGATCGCACGTGGAATCACGCTTCAAAGGTACGATTATATGTTCTTTATGTGTTATGCATTAGATCTTGGGATTAGGTACTATATGAATATGATTCATGTTTTTCCGCTGCGTAGTACCTATAATTCCCTACAGGCAGAACATACAGAACAAAAAAAAGAGCCAAAACATAAGGAATAAATCAGCAAAACATGGACAATGAACATCAGTTGCAATACTTCCAAAATACTGACCTTCCAGCCATTCATAGCAGTCATATTCTTCGAGCTTTAACTTTTTCACCACTTCCCACCAAGACTCAACAAACTTCTCCGGGGTAATGCTGTTGTAGGTCAAATTTTACAACTCATCTTTCACATCCTAATAGTTAAACAAAGCGCCAAGTTTCAGCCCAAACTTCTTCATAATATGCCACATACACCACCGATGGCGTGTTTGAGGCATGGGAAAACAGCTCTAAACGCCTTCCTCATCGCCGCACATTAATCTGTCATGATCGCTGTCGGGGTCTTACCTCTCATGCATGACATCCAAGTCTTGAATAACCAGTCAAAGGGCTCCGCATTCTGATGAGAAACCAACGCACAACCAAGAAGGATAGTCTGACCGTGGTGATTAACCCCTACGAAATTCGAAAAAAGAAGTTTGTACTGATTTGTTAGGTACGTCGAATCAAAACATACGACATCCCCAAAATAGTTAAAGGCCTCCCTACTCCGAGCATCAACCCACATTATATCTTTCAACCTCCTATTCTCATCAAAACGGTGCATATGAAAAAAAATGATTATCGGCACTCATCCTATCAAAATAGTCCAACATAGCCGAGGCATCACTATTTTATAACTTCAACCTCCTCTTTTTATTCACCAAGTTGCGCATATCTTTTTTAGTGAATCCCATATTCCCAACACCATATTTTTGGCTTGCCATATTGTTGTAAATCTGCCCGATTGGAGTGCCGGATCCATGATCATTTTCAATCCAATACTCCAAGTGCTTTGTAATATTCTCCTTTCTATACGCAGCTATGTGTTTGGACATCTCAAGACTCACTACATGATTATGCTCATTCACAACCTTTTTTATCATCCAACCACCTTCATCAATCATTACCTTGCCCGTGCATCATAACTGGACAATCGCATTTTTTAGTCTTCTTCCTCACCACTGGTTCTTCCTTAACCACAACCCTCTTACCATTAACCCTCCTTCTGAATGTTGTCTTCCCATAGCACTCGCACTTCCATACATAAATGCGATATGAATTTGCCTTTCCCGCATTTTTGAAGGCTGGCTTCCCACCACCTATACACACAATACCAAACCCTTCTTGCCTGCCATAACCACGATAAAACTTATTCATTTCATCCTAGGTTTCAAACACCATTCCCGCTTCTGGTTGAGGTTATACAGTATCTGTACATCTTTATAACTCCCTCTCTGAACCACAGTATAGTCTTCATTCAAGATAATAAACTCATTGTCCCTATTGACACGCACGATATACAGTGGCGGATCCAACGGGGGTTCAAGGGGTTCAACTGAATCCTGTAAGATCCGAAAAAAATAGGTTAGTTATTAAAAAAAAACAGAAAAACTATATATAAAATATTTGAAGCAAATATATACCATATAAGGTGCGAGCTTAGTTGGATAAGTAAGTGTAATCTTGGACAACAAATCTTGGGTTCAACTCTCCCTGGACGCAATTAGAGGTTTTTTTTTTGTTTTTTTTCCTTCTTAATTTTCTCCCTTTTTTCCAGTAACTTTCGTTCTCTCATTCTCTATACATTTTGTTCCCTTTCTTTTCTCAATTTTCATAGACAAACTAAAAAGCTCAAACCCTAACTTTCTTTCTCTATCTCTCCTCACTACTCTAGCCGAGTAGCCGTCACACCGAGTCGCTGACCGTACTTAGTCTACTCACCGACGAGGGCGATGATCCTGCTGGTTATGACCGACGACCTGCTGCCAGCCTGCGAGGTAAGTTTCTGTCGCTATTTTTTTTTCAATTTCTTAAATAGTTAGTTTAATTTGTTTTGTAATAGGTTTATTTGTACTTGTTTATAATTATAATTGTACTATTGTAGAATGTAGATTGTTAATTTGTTTTCTATTAAGTATTTAAGTGTTAATCTGTTTTTTTAAATTTGTTTTTGAGTTTTTCAATTTCTTAATTGTTATTATGTTGATTGTTAATTGTTTTGTAACTTTTGTTCATTTGTTGTATTGTTAGACATGTTAGTTTGTTACTGTTAAATGAACTATGAAAAATGGACAGTAGATGTAGTACTAAATTTTTTTTAATTATTGTAGTGTACTAGTGTGTGACCATGAATAGCATGAAAAGTTTGGAGCATTTTTGGAACAAATCTCAAAATTCATCAAACTTTTACTCTCCAAACTCTAAACCTATTAGTGAATACATAGAGGATAAAGAAGACATCGAGTCACCTAATGTCATCCAACCTCCACTTAAAAGCAATCCACAAGCACATGGAGCAAGTACTTCAAATGTTGGTTTTTATGATCGCGTATACGATGTTGAACTTCTTACACATGATCCCGGAAAAAGAATTCCAATATTGGGTGTACCAAAAAATGATCAAGATGTCGTGAGGAGAGGATATATTGCCAAGAAACGTTGTGACCCACGTACTCATAATTTCCCTCAACGATCAATTGGAGGTATGCGTCACTTTGATGTTGATTGGTTTGATAAGTATGAATGTCTTGAATATAGTGTTGAGAAAGATGCGGCCTTTTGTTTTGTGTGCTACTTGTTTAAGGACAAAACTACATCCCCGGGTGGTGATACTTTTGTAAATGGGGATTTAGGGGTTGGAATAAAATTAAAATATTTGATAGACATGTTGATGGTGTTGGTAGTGCTCATAATCAAGCTCAAGAGAAATATGATAACTACATAAAACCAAAAATATCTATCATAGAAACTTTTAGTACATACACATCAGGGCTAGAGTTCATTACAAAAGTCGCTTAACATATTCAGTCAAATGTGTTAGGATCTTTTGAATCAAGGTTTAGCTTTTCGGGGACATGATGAAAGTGAGGGTTCAAGTAATATAGGGAACTTTCTATCCCTTTTAGAATGGCTTGTTGATAATAATGGATGTTAAGCAGGTTGTATTAACTAATGCTCCTGGAAACAATCAAATGATTGCTCCATTCATCCAAAAAGACCTTATAAACTCTTGTGCCAACGAGACCACTATGCTACTTATAGAGGATCTTAATGGTGACTACTTTGGCATACTAGCTGACGAGTCTAGTGATGTGTCTCAAAAAGAATAGATGGCCCTTTTGTTTGCGTTTTGTGAATAAAAAGGTGGGATAGGTGAAAGGTTTCTTGGAATTGTACATGTTGGGGATACCACTGCTTTAACATTAAAGTTTGAAATTGAAACTTTGCTTAAGGAGAATTCATTGATTTTGTCTAGAGTTTGTGGACAAGGTTATGACAGGGCTAGTAACATGGGGGGTGAGATAAATGGTCTAAAAAATTTGACCATGAATGATACGAAAAAGGCTTATTATGTTCATTGTTTTGCTCATCAACTTCAATTGACTCTTGTTGTTGTTGCTAAAGAAAATGATGATTGTATTTGGCATTTTTGAACAACTGCAAATGTTGTTGAATGTGATTGGAGTATCTTGTAAGTGAAGGGAAATGATCATAGAAACTCAATCTCAAGAAGTGCTTGAAACATTAGATTTAGGTGACATTGAAAGTGGACAAGGGTTAAACCAAGAGATGGGTTTGGGTAGGCCGGGTGATACTCGTTGGGGATCACATTATAATATTGTTGCGAATGTCACTTCATTGTATTCTACCATTGTTAAAGTTCTTGAAAAGATTGGAGCAAATAATATTTACAAAGAGGACCGTGTCAAAGCTATCACTATAATGGATACATTTGAGTCATTTGAGTTCATATTCATGATACACTTGATGTTTGAAATTTTTGGGATAACTGATAAATTGTGTCAAGCTTTGCAAAGGAGGGATCAAGATATTGTTAATGCCATGTCATTTGTTACCTTGACCAAAGAGAGGTTACAAAAGATGAGGGAACATGGGTGGGATGACTTTTTAGATCTTGTCACTTGTTTTTGTGTTCAACATAACATTGATGTTCCTAGTATGAGTGATTTGTATGTTCCCCGTGGGAGATCAAAGCGCTTCTTTGCTAAAGGTCAAAATCTTCATCGCTTTCGAATTGAGATGATTTTTAGTGTTATTGATTTACAACTTCAAGAGCTTAATAATAGATTTGATGAGGCAAATATGGAGTTGCTTATTTGTATGGTTTGCTTGAATCCTATCAATTCATTTGCTGCATTTGATTAGAAAAGGTTGATGAGACTTGCCGAGTTTTACCCGAAAGAGTTTCCAAGTAATGATATGACAATGACAGCACTTCGTCATGAATTTGAGTTTTTTATTGATGACATGCGGAAAGATGAGAGGTTCAAGATTTTGAAGGATATTAATGAGCTTTCTATGATGCTAGTTGAAACAAATAAGCATTGTTCTTAAAAAATGGTTTATTTGCTTGTTCGATTAGTATTAATCCTTCCGGTGGCAACTGCAACTGTGGAAAGATGTTTTCTTCGATGACTTATGTGAAGAACAAGTTGAGAAATAGTATGGGTGATCAACTAATGAATGATTGTTTAGTCATATTTCTTGAAAGAGATCTTTTTGCTAACGTTAGTGACAATGATGTATTGAAACGTTTTCAAAGTATGAAAACTCGAAGAATGCTTTTGTAATTTGCATCTTTTTTATGTATTGTATTTTGACATTTAATTGAAGTTATGTATTTTTGTATCAAATCATTTTATTTTGCAATATTATTGAAATTTGGACTTATTTTGTTGTGTACACTTTATTTTATACTTGAATACCCGATTTATATCCGTGCATTTGGATATTGGGTGTTTTATAAAGTTTGAACCCCCTAGGTACAATTCCTGGATCCGCCACTGACGATATATATGAGTGAAAACCCTCAGATGGAGGCTCCTTATTCAAGTCAAAAGCCTCCCATCCATCATCGTTAACAACCGTATGTGTAATTCATCACTGTCTGTATCTGAGCTACTATCTGAACTACAACCTACTGAGTCTCCCTCCATTTCCTGGAACACTCATTCTACTTGACGTGGGAACTGAACAAGAATTAGGGAGAGGGAGGAAATTGTCACAACAACAACTAACAACAACCACATGAACAACACTCAAGCTAATTACAAGAACAAGGAATCAATAAAACAACCATGAACCAACACATTATGAGATCCAAAAAAACACATCGATGAGCAACATTCAATTAGGAGAATTACAACCTCCAAGATAAGAAGGCATATTTCATATTTCAACCTTCAACATTTCCCATTCACACTCCATAATTCATCTTCAATTACAAACAACAGCACAATTTACACCACACAATATTTCAACATTCAATTCAATTGTCCCAAAAAAAGAAACCAATTCTAGCAAATATAAATAAACGATTAGAATACAACAATTGCATGCCCATTTTCCCCACACATTCCATAATTCATCTTCAATTACCAATTTATGAATTATAATTAAATTATCTCAATTATTAAAAATTCTGAAAAACATTAACTTACCTCAATTATTTCAATTTCACTATTCACACAAACACCACCATAATCCATTGTCTACAACCTACTAAGCTTCCATTATTTATCTGGGAAAAAAATTGGGTGGTGGTATAAATTGTCGATTTTAGCTTACTAATTAGCGTGTGTATGCTCTTTGTTTATTTTTCTGGAACAAAATTGGGGAATAGATTACTATTTTCATTATTTGTTGGTACAAAAATTGGGAAGGAAAAATTTGAGGAGATTGTTGGAAAAAAATTTGGGGGAAAAAGGTCCCCGCCATTAATTTGGTCATCCTTTTTCAGATGGAGGCGGATTTTCTTACTGACATAGTAATTTATTTTCCTTTTTTTTTAGTGTTTTATTAAATTTTGGTCCCACTTTCTCACATTATTTTAGTGTTTTATTAAATTTTGGTCCCATTTGTACTGCAATCCTTTTATTACTTTTAGAGAAATTTATTTTCCTTTTTTTTCACCTAAGTTGAGTCCAAGAGGCTTCAACTTAGTTGAGGTTGAGAATCTCTTTACTTTCATGTTCAATAACTCGTTAAGTAATTTTACTCAATTGCACTTTTTTTTAGTATTCTTTTCAATTTAATGCTCTAAAGTTCATCTTTATAACACATACTTAAAATTTTATTAGTTTTACTTAGAAGCGAGAGAAACACTATAGGTTTATTTTTTTCTTTTTTTTTATTGTTGTTATTGTATGAATGAGCCACAAGGGCATTAAACAAATAACAAATGAGGGTGGAGAATTCAAACTTGTGACCTATCGTCAAGCTCTCAGTCTTATCACTAGACCAACACTATTTTATATAAATATGGGAAGGATCCGGTAAGAACCCCTCCCTATATAAGAACCAAAGTGTATATAAGAACCAATCTAATCCGTACGATTAGATTGAATTAAATGGACAAGATTAAAGGAAATCAACTAATAAGATAATACTCCATTTCTATTCTAATTTTCTCTCTCCTCCCACAAAAACATCTCCTTGTTTTCTCTCTCATCATTTTCTCTCTCCTCAAACCCCCAAAAATCTCCATTATTAGAGCACATTGAAAGACTTTTTCAGCGATTTTCAGTCATTTCTCACGCATTTTGGTAAATTAAGGTATGTTTGTTCAAGCAATTCAATTTCAACGGTTTTGTTAATTTTTTTTTTCGAATTTTTTAAGGAATTTGTAACGAAATTGCATCAATTATGTTTGGTTTTTGTTTTATGTTCGAAATTGCATCAATATTTTATTTTCTGCTGTTTAAGGGCTCGATTTCCGCGATTTATTTAGTGATATTTTTCCAATTTATGGTTCGAATATTCAATTGCAATTTTGTTCGATGTTTTCCGAATTTCCAATATTTTTTTACTACAATTTTATTTGATTTTGTACTGCAATTTTGTTTAATTTTGTATTGTAATTTTCCGAGGAATTTTTGATAATTTTATTTAACAAGTATAACTCTGGAAAAATATACTGGAATGTTTTGTTTTGATAGTTCATTGTTAGAGTTAATATGAGATTGCAAATAATATTGGAGCATTTACTGTCAGTTGCACAAATTTAGTCATTAGGTTAGTTCATGTAAAAATAAGAGTATTATAGTAAGAAATTAGGTTAGCACTTGCAGTAGATAAATTTGCATTATATTTTATAGGAATGGAATCAATGGATGAACATGCAACTGTATATTTTCCTCTGTCATACTGATGTAATTTACTTGATAATACTTAACTTCCAAGTATTAATGTAGTAGTTGTGTTGGGTAATTTGTGAGCTATGGTGGATGTTGTAGCAATAATGGAGACATTTGAGTTTCTACATGTGATTGTCTTCCTCTACTTCTATGGGAGGGTAGTGTGTTGATCTATACCAAAATCCTATTAGCTCAAGTGGTAGAGCACTATGCAAACTGCATAGATGATGTAGGTTCGAATCCTACATAGGCTATATTTATAAATAACTATATATATAAAAAAAAAAACTTAATCATCTCTCCTAATAGCCAAATTATTTTTGTATATAGGAAAAACTTTAGAAAAAAATTAGATCATAATTCATAAGTAATAATTTAGAACATAAGAAATAATTTTAGAACATAGGGAAAAAATTAGAACGCAGGCTCAAAGATAGGTTTAGAACATAGGAAGAATTGAAATTTAGAACACACATAAAAATTTAGAACATAAACAGAAAAACTAAAAATATAGGAAATGATTTTAGAGCATAGGGGAAAATTAGAACATAGGCTCACAATATCAGTTTAGAACACTGAAAAAAGTTTAGAACATAGACAATTTTTTTTTTTTTTTTTTTTGAGCATAGACAAAAAAAATTTAGAACATGAAAATATAAAATTAAACATAAATCGAAAATCAAGCACAAATCTAAATTTAGAACATAGAAAAAAAAAATTAGAGCATAGGGAAAAAATTTAGAACATAAGCTCAAAAGATAGGTTTAGAACATAGGAAGAAATTTAGAACACACATAAAAATTTAGAACATACACGAAAAATTAAGAATATAGGAAATGATTTTAGAGCGGAAAAAAAATTAGAACATAGGCTCACAATATAAGTTTTGAACATAGGCAAAAGTTTTGAACATAGAAAAAAAATTTATTTTTTATTTTTTTTATATAGACAAAAAAAAAATTTAGAACATGAATATATAAAATCGAACATAAATCAAAAATCAAGCATAAATCTAAATTTAAAACATAGAAAAAAAATTTAGAAAATAGGGAAAAAATTAAGAACATAGGCTCAAAAGATAGGTTTTAAACATAAGAAGAAATTTAGAACACACATAAAAATTTAGAACATACACGAAGAATATAGGATATGATTTTAGAGCATAGGGGAAAAAATTAGAACATAGGCTCACAATATAAGTTTAGAACATAGGCAAAAGTTTAGAACATAGACAAATTGTTTTTTAACATAGACAAAAAAAAAAATTTAGAACATGAAAATATAAAATTGAACATAAATCGAAAATCAAGCATAATTTTTTTTTTTCTTTTGTTCTAAATTTCTTCTGCTTATGTTCTAAATTTTTGTTTGCTTGTGTTCTAAATTTTTTTTTCTTATGTTCTAAATTTTTTCTGTTTATGTTCTAAAAAATTTTCCATGTTCTAAATTTTTTTTATGTTCTAAATATAAACTCTTCAAAATTACAGAAATATCATTACTAAAGGATCATTTTAGATGGTTAGATCAAAACAAATAAAGGGTTGAGATTGATTCTTATATAAAATTGGATTCTTATATAGAGGAGGGTTCTTATATGAGCCTTCCATATAAAGGTGGGCACTGGTCGTGCCGGCACGGCACGACACGGCGGCCCACCTGTGGGTAGGGGTGTTCAAAAAAACCTGACCGGGCTGTCCCGACCCGCTGTCCCGGTAAATACCCGATGGGAATTTTAGGAAAAAACTTGTTTTTCTGGGTCGGGTACCCGTCCCGAAAAAACTGCCTTCTATCCGGGTCGGGACATGGACCGGATTTTTTCAAAATCGGGTACCCGATTACCCGAATTAATAAATTAAAAAAAAAAAAATTCGCACAAAAATGCTCACTTCCTCAGACCAGCCTTCTTTCATGAAATTAGGGTTCATTCTCATACTTTTCAATCTCCTCTCTCTCTCTCTCTCCGCCGCTCCCTCTCTTCCTCTCTCTATCTTCCTGCCTCTCTTTCTCTCTCTCTCTTCTTGCTCTGTCTTCTTGCCTTCTTCATCCTTCACGTATCTTAACACCACACTTCTCTAGCTCTCTTTCTCTTTCTCTTTCTCTCCTTCACTCATAGTCACAAATCATGCAAACATCAACAAAAATCAAGAGTAAACATTAATCAACCCACAAATTAAATCATGTGAAGAGTTGTGGGTTAATTAACATCAAGAGCAAGCATTTATCCAACGATAGCCATGCAAGACAGTAGGCTGATGAAGATTTTGGGAAGGTTAATTTTCAATTGTGGTTTTTGTGAAGATTTGTAAGTTGATGAAATTATCAAAGATGAGGGTTTATGGATGATTTTCAAGATTTGAGTTTTTCTTTTGTCTAATTTCTTTCTTTTTTTTTTTTTGACAAACTTTGATTTTGGTTTAATTATGTAAATTGATGAA